GGTCATAATTCGAAGATGATGTGCCTAAAGTAAAAAACTTTTACAGCGAAAGTGCTTAATCTTACTTGTTCAGCTTCCGCATGTCAGCATAATTGGTGCATATTTTTTAAACAGCTACATACAAAAAAAAAAATTGATTGGCTACATGTCGAATGAACTAGTTAGTTTATGTTATGTTCAAACAAAAAATGAAAGATTGACACTTCAAGTTAAAACATTAAAATAAAATAAAATAAACTAGTGGTGATGGAATACATCATTTAAATAGTGATGATAGTATATCTGATGATGAATGGATAAGCCTAAGAATGATGAAGAATTTGAGTTTGAAGATAAAAGAATAACTTTTAATGGTGATGATAATGTAAATATCAATATAAACTTTAAAAGGAGCCAAAAGAATATTAAATTTGCAGCAAGTTCTACTTCACAATCATTTAAAGTTGGAGTGCAAAAAAAATCTAAAGATAATTGAAATATGGTTGATCAGTTAGTTGTGTTACTAATTTACTATTTATTTAAAACTATATTGAATTAAATGTTAATTGAGGTAGAGAGTAAAATGATAAATGTGAAAAATGAAGAAATATTTGATAATGATGATAACAAAAATTTTGATGGAGATAGATTTATTATATTATATATGATGATTAAGATGATGAAAATGATGATGCCAGCATGGATCACGATTCTTGTGGCATACTTAAATTCTAAGTTTGATTTTTAAATCATAGTTCAAACTTCTATTTTATACTAATAATATTTAATATCAAGATTTGTGATTCGTCAAATGTCATATTTATGAATTCTGTTTGATTTTGGAAATTTTTGCTTAGGCTTGAACCTTGATACACATCGAGGCGTACACCTCGCCTTGCTAAGGAAAAACATCTCAATTCCCGATATTCTTTTTTAAACATTGGGAAGCATACATAATGATGTATACCATATTAACAAGTTTCATATTCAAAAGTTTAAACAACTGATGAAAAGAATGTGAAACCTCAAAGTTGACAGAGAATCACCAACTTAAGGCGTTATTGTTAGTAGAGAATATATGATAGGTACCAAAAGCATCATCAATGATATGATAAATTCCACCAACATTACCACCTCTATCAACCTTTTTCATCCATAGGAAGGATCAAATATTATTAAATATTTGAGAGACTTAGATAATATATAAACAAAAAATTAACTAAAAAAACCATGACACAACATATTGTCTAACGTTAAGGTGGAAAGTGATCTACAAATTCATTTCTAAGGTTCGAAGCAGGGTAATCATCAACAATAATAATAAGGGGGGAAAAGTTTGTAGAAATGGATGAAGATGAATGTCGACCGTATGTCATACAAGAAGATACACCATAATATATAACCCAAGCTAACTCAAAGTAAGAAACTACATTTAAGTTAAAAAGATGAACAAATTGAGAGGTAAAAAATAAGCATCTAGAGCACTATAAAAAATAGTCATGATCCACTTAGAATACAAGAACAACAACAGCAACAAGAACAATAACGATAATAAGATGAAATAAATTGAGAGGCAAAAAAGTACCATCTTGAGTACTACAAAAATCAGTCATAGTCCACTTAGAATACAAAATAAAAACGAAAATAAGTCTCCGTCCCACTAAGTGGGGTTGGCTACATGAACTAACAAATAAAATGAAAAGAGACTTGCATTTAAATGTTTATTTGTGGGAAGATAACCAAGTTCACAAAAATAGTCGAGTGCCTTGTCTTTAAACAAAATTTATACTGTAAAAAAGATTTCAGCCATAATCACAATAACCACGGTCACCACATCCTTACAAATATGACCACTCGTTGTATCAATGGTAGGAGTAAATAATCATGATTAGAAGCAGATAAAAGCAAATAACCTGAAGAAATTGAAAGAGAACAGTGCAGATGTTCAAGACAACATTACACACCATCAATTAAGATCCAACCAATTAAATGGAGGGATGAAAGCTGAAAAACTTGACAATGAGAACTTCGTTTTTTTATTCAATTTGATAAACAAGATAAGGTTGATATTAAAAAAGTTTATCCCATTTGCCTTTCAAGATTTGTAGTACTTCTAAATAGATTTATCCCCCAACTACAAACAGAATAATTGAATGGAAAAAGTGAGCACATCATAGATATTGTGTGGAGTAGAGAAAGTCTTACATGCCTTTAGAAGTTTCACGAAAAATGACAATGGATGCAATAGCAAGTTCAAAGCTACTAAGTAGGATTGCAAATGATCCGAACCAGCTACTCGTTGTTTGGCTCAATTAAAGCTTGTTAAAAATCATTTAATTAAACAATCTAACAAGCTTAGGCACTTCGATGGATACTTGAGATAGTGGCGCACTATTGTGCCCAGATCGCTTTACATGATGGTTTTTTGTTTAGATGTTCTGAGGGCCATCATCCTCTTGGATTCTATTAGGGAAGACAGGGCCTCTTTCTTTGGGCAAGCTTTCTAGCGGTCATTGTCTTTTTTATGTAATTTTCTTTTTATTTAATGAAAAATGCACACCTTCCATGGATATTTGACTAATAAATGAACAAACCTGGTTTTAATTTATTTGCAATCATGAATAGTATTTCATTTAAAACTTGTGAACAAGCTTATTAAAAGGCTTGATTAATCTAGATAAAATGCTCATTTAAAACTCAATTATAAATTTATTTAATATGTAATTAACTATTATTCAAATCATTCTCTATATTGGATTGTTTTTTATTTTGAATACAATAAATTTGATTATGCTCATGTAAATGCTCATTTAAAACTCAATTATAAATTTATTTAATAGTTCATTCAAAAAAATCATATTTTTAAACTCAAAAGGAGGCTCATTAAAACCCAATAAAACTTGTTCATTCAAGTAACGAGCTAAATGATAGTGTTGCTCATTACTAACCTCATTCATTTAGCCAATGAGTCGAGACAACTATAATTTTAATGAATCAAGTTTAACAAAAATTACAAATATTCAAATCAAGCTCAACATCAAGCTCGAGTATGGCCTTAACAAATGAGCTCGAACTTAAACAAGCTCCTGCTCGGCCTGTCTAGGTTTGGTTCATTTATATCACTACAATAAAGTTTGAAGGTAAAACAATATTGTCATAAGTTCGTCATTTGATCTATTTAGTAGTGCCTTCTATTTGGGAGACAAAAAGTCCAAATGTTTAAGTTTCTCATGAAATTCCAAAAGAAAATAGAAAGCTCGAGACAAAAAGTTGAAATTAGGGTTTTATCTTCTAGCGATTGGCAAAAAAAGCCATCAATAAACACTACCAAAATAAAATAAAATAAAAAACAGTAAAACAAAAGGATTAAGAAATCAGGGATCGAAAGCAGCGACGAAGGCAGCAAAAGATGCAGGGGAAGATTAATTGGATTCAATCGAGGATAGCAATTGCAAGTGCAAAAACAAGCAATCGCAGGTGTGGGAGCAAGAGCATGATTGCAATTCTATCATCAATGAATGCATGCAGTTACGAGTAAGCGAGAGCATAGAAGTAAGCAAGCAGTAATGATGCATAGTAAAAAGCAGTAGCTCAATGCAAGGGTGCAAGTTAGTAAATGATGATGCGGCTTATAGCAGCGAATTTGCATGAGGAGGATGCGAACTCAAGCAGGGTTGAAATTCAGTTCAACGAGGTCAACGAGGATGCGAACTCAAGCAGGGTTGAAATTCAGTTCGAGGTCAAGTTGTGATCTATAAAACAAGAAAGACTAAGGTTGTAATTACTTGAACTATGATATCATATTACATAAGAAAGATGATTTTATGATTTTAAGCAATAATGCACAATGTTCTGAGGCAAATCTAATATGTACATAAATACGTACATATATGTATTTGTGTATGCACGCATGCATGCATTGTAAAATTTACATAGATAACAAACAATACTTACATAATTACATATTCAACACCAAAAGTTTAAGATTTTCATATATGACATTTTGTAACAAAATCACATTAAAATATATTCATGAAGTTTCACTTTTAAAAAGTTAGTATTAGTATATTTTGATGTGTTGTATAAATAAATATTAAATTTTAGATGTTAAACATGCTAATATATAACAATCGAATTATATGTGAGTATTTTTTTTTTCATATTAAACAGAAAAAAATCAAATAGCATGCGTCATGGGGTAAATATGATGTGCCATTGCCCATCCATGGTATAAATAGTGTACACTATTTTGTTGTGACTCATGTAGGGCCGTGCTACACAAATGGCACCAAGGGTGTGTTGTGCCACGCTATGCGTCATGGCGCGCACCACTTTTGAGCCATTAATATTTATGTAAGGCACCTATATTTTAAGTACATATGAGTTTAATCTTCTCAGCAAGCAAATGCTTAATGGTGATAACTTTCTAATAATTGTTCACATTGGATAATATGTTTGTGTCAGATATTAATAATAATCCATTTGATGATGTGATATATGAAAAGCTCTTAACAGCTAATGGTTTTCGTGTTTCAAGTGAAATCCTTGATAAAATATGAAGAACTCTTAATTATATGGATGGTTATGTTTTACTAACTTCATTGGATAAATATTGATTTCGAAATTCATATGATCATAAAATTCAATTAAACATTTAGTTTCCTTGAAAATAAAATGTTCACTTACAAAACAAGTACAACATAAATTCAAATTGCTGCATTAGGTCCTGCACTTTCTCTCTTGCTCTTGCATAATAGCATGTGTATGTTTTGCCAATTTTTTTAAGCATTTTGATTAATAGCATAATTAGCATGTATTTAAGATAATATGAGCCTCTTAATAGTTCCACATTATCAAAATTTTCAAGGACATTATTACAGGGCGATGAATCGTCTCATAACAAATGACATGAACACCTGCATAAATATATAATCTCAAATGTTTAGACAGTACAGTTTTGGCATGAAAGAATAATCAAGTTGCATGTCATACTATAAAATGGGCAATAAGCCCTGATATACCCCAAAAATAACATTCCATGTCTCCAGCAGAATATCCAGAGCTTCTGACGTCCATGTTTCCTCTTCATCATGATTAACTACATCGGCTTTTATAACATTACTTGTCAAGATAGACAAGAAGTGAATAGTTCCAAAAGGTCTGAAAATCAATTGAGTTTGTTAAAATATTGTAAAGGTCAAAAAAACAACCACACAAAAATTCGCTACTTGCACAGCAATTAGAAGCCAGCAAACCAAACCAAAATTAAGATCATGTAAAATCACAAGTTAATAAACTCAATACTGACTTTAGCAGCAAATCAATACTGACTTTAGCAAGCAAGAAAAAACTAAGGATTAACTGCTGACCTCAGTGACAGCAAAAAGTTGTCAAACAGCGAAGGAGTAGTCAGAGTGGCTATTGACAGCAATGCATGGCAACCGTCAATAAATTCACTGAATAACGTAAGAGCATTCTTATGAGAAACAAAAGTCAAACAAATATATACATGCAGCAAAGACAGAAGTAGAAAACAAAGCAGCCTGAGAGTCCAGATAAATAAAACATAGCTAAGGACTTGCCTTTCACTTCGTCCAGACCTTATCACATTTATGACTTCTTCAGGAGGTTCAATCCATTGTATAACAGATGAGAGTATCTGAAGTAGGTGATTGCTTTGTGTATGCCCATTATCTTAAATTTGAAAATGACCATGTTAAGTCTTCAAAATGTAAGTAGACTACGTAATCAAAAAAATGGAGGGGCCATATTTAATCAGAACAAGCAAAAGATTAGTTGACACTAAAGTTCTAATAAAATTAAAAAGACATGGTTGCCACAAAAGTATTTTGTAGTCTACCATACTTGGCAAGCAAAATGAGTTCTAAATTTCAAGAGGAGGTACAATATATATAGAAGTTCACATTCTAAGAATTAATTCGATTGTTAGGAAAGGAACTGGCACAAGAACCCAAGTTGGGCCTACCACGCTAATGGCAAACACCCTACTCAATAATATTAAGGTTAGATCTACGTGCGAGGTTAAAAAAACTATGGCATAAACGATTCCTGTTATTGTGGCAAATCAGTAATAATTGACCTTAAATAACCTCTCCGATAAGGGAGCGGCTCCTGCATATAAAGTAATTCGGGACTGGAACAGTGCTGAATCATATGTAACATGATTTTTCCCGTTTGTTGCTATTGCCAGCCCTTATGAGGCCCCCTTTCAATTTCATTTTAATTAAAGTTTGGATTTTTTTCTTGGAGAAAATGTTGTTATTTTTCAAGTTTTTGGACTTCTACTTTGATTTTGTGTATTAGGAGATTATATTCTCTAAATTTTTACCTAAATAGTGTTGTACCATCTTACTTTTGTAAGTGGTGTATCTATAGCTTGATCAAGAACAGATGGTGGATCTTAATCAACCATCATGTCCCTTCAGAGCAAGTGTTTACCTCCACTTGTTTTCAGCCCGGACAACCCCTAAACGTCACCCATCTCTTCCAAACTTCGTCGATTTCGCATATTTTCATTTCCTTGCTATTCCACAACCTCCCCTATAGATTCTCTTCCCAAACACTATCTAAGAAGACTAAAACGGTGTCAATTGGTATCAAAACCCAAAAAAATCCTAATTTTAGTGATTTATCTTCCTTTCTTCCACAAGTCGAGTTTGTTTACAATAGATCCACTGGCCAGTTGATAAATTATAGCACATTTTTTACTACATATGGCTAGAATCCTCTCATTCAATTAGATTTATGTTGATACTTCCAGCTACTGAACTTAGCTTGGAGACAAAGTTCGAGTCATAAAGATTCATAACTTCATGAACTTGTGAAGATAAAAATTGCTAAACAAACTGCAAAATATTAGATGGAAGTTAAGGAAAGATCAATTTTTTTAAGAATGTGATTTGATATGAATTAGTTTGAAAAAAAATAAGAGGTTTCTTATGGATTTTTTTGTGAAAATCAAGCATAGAGCTAATGGCCCTCCGAGTATTATTAAGAGGAATAACGACAGTGCATACAAGATTGATATACTAAGAGACTACAATATTTCTACTATATCTAAATTCACTGACTTGTCGCCATATTACAAAGATCCAAATGTTGTCAGAGAAGAAGTCAAAGACTCTCCTACCAAAGGGTAGTGATGTGAGAGTGACTCCCAGATCATGAGATTCCCGGGATAGTGCAATTTGATACAGTAATAGTGTTGAATCTCCTATAGAATTACTTTTCTACTTATTGATATTTTCAAGCGTTATGGGGCCCTTTATGGTATTTTAGATAAAATTAGAGGTTTGCTTGGAGACTATTATATATTGTTATTTTTCTAATTTTGGGACTTTTGCTTTGACTTTCTTTCGAAAGGGGTATTGTGTAATTGGAGATTCTATTCTCTGACTTTCTTTCCAAAGAGGTGTTGTATCTTACTCTTTTACAAGTGATGTGTTTGTACCTTGTTTAGGAACGAGTGATGATTTTTTCTCAACAATTGTGCCACCTTTAGAGCCAATGTTTCGTGGTTTCCTCCATTGATTTTCAGACCAAATAGCTGCCACTTATTCCCTCGTAATAGTGTTGAATCTCCTATAGAATTACTTTTCTGCTTATTGATATTTTCAACCGTTATGGGGCCCTCTATGGTATTTTAGATAAAATTAGGGGTTTGCTTGGAGATTATTATATATTGTTATTTTTCTAATTTTGGGACTTTTGCTTTGACTTTCTTTCGAAAGGGGTATTGTGTAATTGGAGATTCTATTCTCTGACTTTCTTTCCAAAGAGGTGTTGTATCTTACTCTTTTACAAGTGATGTGTTTGTGCCTTGTTTAGGAACGAGTGATGAATTTTTCTCAACAATTGTGCCACCTTTTGAGCCAATGTTTCGTGGTTTCCTCCATTGGTTTTCAGACCAAATAGCTGCCGAAGGTTACTTATTCCCTTCTAAACTCCATCGACCTCTCTCATTCCTTTGCAATTCCACAATCACCTTCTCGCTAGATTCTCTTCCAAAACACCTTCTAAGAGAATAGTGTCACTCTCCCTCAAAACTGAGTCAGTATTACATTAACCCCACAAGTTCAGGGCATGTTAAACCACTCAAATTTGATCTACTCATGACCTTTCAAATGAATGCTATTGGAAACAAATAAAGAACAACTTTAGAACTATTTATACATCATAAACATTCCCAACATAGCCTTAATCATAGAATAGTCTAAGGCGCCTCTTAATGTCAGAGAAGCGCAAAAGCAATGCATCATTATCATGTTCTAAATTATTTTAAATTCTTAAATTGCTTGCTCGAGATGCCACTTTTTAGGAGATGACTAAGCTAAGGAATTCAAGCTGAACCTTAAATTCTAGTGAACATTCCCAACATACCCTTAATCATAGAATAATCTAAGGCGCCTCTTAATGTCACAGAAGTGCAACAACAATGACATCATTATCATGTTGTAAATTATTTTAAATTCTTAAACTGCTTGCTTGAGATGCCACTTTTTAGGAGATGACTAAGCCAAGGAATTCAAGCTAAACCTTAAATTCTAGTGACTACCATGTATTCAAAATGATAAGCGTAAGGGATTGTTTAGTACCGCAATTCTAATAGAATTTACGACTAGATTTAATGTAAATCTAGCCAAACATAAAATATACGAAAGTTAGATCCAGCGCTCCCATGAATCTGATTCTCTATTTAGATTTTAAATCCTAAATTTATTAAATCCAATAAAAAAAAAACACATCCACAGAAGAAATCGATGCGATGGCATCATTTGTTCCTTTCGTCTTGTTGTTGCACTACCCTTTTGTTACACGGTACTGCCATCATCGACGTCACACAAAAAAAGAGAAGGTTAGCACATTATCTACTTATTTTTTTCTTTTTTTAGTTCTTTTGCAGGAACGGATCATTCCACTTCCCCCAATCGGTTCAAATCAATGGTGGTGCCCCTCACAGCGAAATAGCCAGCAACAACCATCACCAGTTCCAATCCCTTTCAGGTAATCTTTGTTGTCACTCATACTCCTGCCTTATCGATTTCCAATTCCACTTCTGCCCCTACTACGATTTTGCCCTTTAAAAACTCAGGAGATTTGGATTTTGCTTTTTTGTGTTGGATCGAAATCAGTTGCAGATGTGAACAGTTGATTAAGGCTTTGCAATGTGATGAAGAATTATAGGATTTTTTATTTTGAGAAAATGGAAATGCTCTATCAGTCTGTTTTGTGAGTTTTTAAAAGGTTGTGTTGTTGCTACTAAATGATAGTTTGTAATGAGAAATTGGCTACCATGTCATGAACTTTTGATTAAGATTTGTGAGGATTTTATCCATTCCCTTTTATCTTGTGATAGTAGATGTCTCTGCCCGACTGTAATATTTTTTTCTTATCAATAAATTGGTTTATTGGTATAATCTACAACTGTTTGTTGCATCGAGAAACAAAAAAAAAAAGATTAGCTGTGCGAAAGAGGATCGTGTAAGCTCTCAATTGAGGTGTGAGCTTCCCTTTTCATTTTTTTTTTGTTACCTTTGCTTTCTATCAGCAGTATTTATTGTAAATTTTTTATATGATCCCTGCTGTAACTGTCAGTTGAGATGCATTTGAAGCCTTTTATTTTACATTTAAATTCTATTTAAACCAACTACTGTTAAATGCTGAAATAAGATGTTAAACATTCAAACGGATTTAACTAGATTAACCTTAACTGTACCAAACACTTTTCTGGATTTAACAACATATGGATTTGATAAATCCGGATTCAAGGGATTTATTAAAGCCAATTTAAGTTAACACCTAACTGCAGCCAAACAGCCCCTAAGAATATGGGCAAAGCCAACTTCATAAATAACACCATCTCCCCAGTTTAATATCAACGCAAAGTACAACCCATCACATCTCACCCCAACAATTAACTAGTCATGAATTTATGTACTGTGTTTCAAATTTTAAAATTATCAGCATAATATCATATTGAAACACATATAGTGAAGTGTACTGTGCTCTACTTATCTGCTTCATCATCTCAAGTAATAAAGGGAAAAAGCAGCGAGTGTTACTAGAGGAATATTAGTCCAAAGGAGATCAAGGAGTAAAGTATAATCAAAAAATAGGATGCATTCCTTTAAGATGAAAGAATTGAGTGATAGAATGAACTTGAGAGGGATTAAGGCAGATTTTACGTCAATAGTTTCATGGTCAAAATTCACAGAACAATGCAATTCGTTACATTGAAGAATGCAATGATAGATAAACCTTTAAGAATCAAGCACTTAATTGGCTGAACAATTTTGTGATTTACTTTTCATGTTTTACGGACTTATTCACAAGCTTGTGTAGTGGTAAATAATTGTGATAGTGCTACAGATTCTGTTCAAAGCAATACTAATTGGTTTAGCATCGATTTTCTATCAATTTTAATTCATAAAGAAAAAAAATCACAGAATTCATCATGTATAGCTAACAATAAAACGCATGATGCATTATCCTGTCCACATAATACTCTAAACATTAGTTGACATTTCAATGCACTCACTTTCGAGCTAAAATCATAAAACTAAATAGAAGAAATATGTGTTATTAATTATGTATTACAGCCTCCCCCACAGTGTCTTATTTCTTTTTCTTTCATCTGCTACCGCATCACTGTTGCAACGGCATAAGCACTTCAAAGCATGGACTAAAAATTGTTAAAACCAATTTGAAGCAACAGCAAGTTGCTGATTTAGTATTTTATCTGTTCTCTAGATTTGAGTCCTGGCCTATAAGATTTGATGTTCGCAGATATGTGGTAGGATGGTGAGCCTTCTATGGCCAAGCGATGTGATGAATATTTAATATTACAAAATAATAAGCTGAAGATGGGGATTGATGGAGGCAAGTAGTGAAAAAATCTATATGCACAACATGGAAAAGTTAGAAAGAATTCATACACAACTTGAAGCAAGAGAGAATACGTTATTAGCCTCAAAATGAATTTCATTCATCAAAAGTCAATCTTTAATATAAACCATCAATCTAACTTTATAAAATAGCGTTGGCTAAACAATGTGAATCAAAACAAATCCTATTAAAATTAAGAATAATATGATAACTAAACATAACGAAATAAATCAATTTAAAATGAAAGAGATTCAGCTATAAAGAAATATTGGCCAAAAAATGCTTGAAAAGTAATTGAATTCAGCTCTGTTGTGGCCTGTTTTGACTCCTTCTAATTAGCCTATGAGAAACTAGAGTTTTATAAACTGATCTGGCTAAATAATAGACTCAATTGTGCTCCATCGTGAGCTACTCATGTTTCTAAACAATTTGGTACTAGAACACACCGAACCAAAAGATTAAGTTTAACAAAGTGGGTTTATCTCAAATTTTTTTAAAACAGTGCCGAAAGAAACAAGCAAGCATTAAATTAACATTAATGTAAATATTTAATAAGCATGAAGGACTCGCATACGAGAGTTCATGTTACAGATATTCATAATAAGAAAAGATGAAGTTTTTATCTGTTAAATACAATTGCCGCTAACAAAAAGATATTTAATTATATATAAAAGCTTAGCTACATATTACATTGATTTGTATCAAATAATCAATTAAACAAACACTGACATCACGGATTTATGGAATTTTAATAATTCATAGTCATATTGATTTTCAAAAATTAAACGATACAATAAAAATATTAATAAAATTAAAAGTAAAACTAAATACTGATACATTTGATATGATTAAAATGTCAAACGGGATGCTCTACGAACATTTGATGCCATCAAAATGTTAAACCGGAAGCTCTCCTAACTAGTACAAAACCAAACCAATACCAAATTTTGAAACTTGCTTTAATGATATTTAAATAAAATTGAAAACTAAAGAATTTAATAACAGGATAACATGATACATTAAAGTTGATCCTTGAAGGTTGTAAAGCAATATTAGAGATCCAAACTTCTCAAAATCCTTGTTTTTTCTAGAGCAGAAGGAAAGGCTAGCGGGCATTGCACACCAGAAGAGAAAGGTCAAATGTTGCATTATACTTAGCCATCAAAGGTCAGAAAGGCACACATTAATATTTTATAAATGATCCATCCTCTAAATCATTTTTTCCTTTGGCTGAGAGAGAGAGATGAATTTATGGACATAACACAAACACACACACAAGCAAAGTGCAAGAAAAATTTTAGCAAAGAGGGTTTATATTCGCTCAACATACTAATCATTAGCAATTTATAGCGATATAATCAGTGCAGAATTCACATAAAATTCACAAAGGAAGGCAATGAGTGATGCATTGGCTTTAAAAGGCTATTTTGACGGTTTGTGTAGAAACATAGAGGATGAGATAAGGAATTATTTACACTTACTCCATCAACATGAG